AGGTGGCAGCGGCCACCGCTGCGGCCGCCCTGTGCTGCTGCCGCCACCGCTGCCGCTGCGCGAGCGGGTGTTTTGGTCACGTCACGTTGAGATAAAATCCCGCGAGTTGATTTGTGCTTCCTGGAGGAAGCGGTTTTCCCGGCTGGGGCCCTCAGAAGGGCTCCGTGAGCAGCTCCGAGGCCTCCCGTTTACATTACGGGCTCCCGCTGCTCTGTTCCCAAGGATTGTGTGGCAGAAGCCGGGTCTTGTACTAAACTTTTTAAGCCAGCAGTCTGAGCACGCTTGTGTCTGACGTCAGGCTGTGTTTTCCTTCCCCAGCCAGCAGATGCTGGCGCATTACTCCTTTTGTTTCTAGGTGTTGGGAACAGCAAGTAAACAAATAAATCCAGTAAGAAATGTTTGGCACTTAAAAAATCAAACCTCAAGTCCTTTTATTTCACTGGGAGGAATTTCCATTTTGTGTTTGTACATTAAAAAAGTTTAAAATATTCCACTTTTGTTTGTTTAAAATAAATTGAGACTGTTTTTTCAAAGTGTGAAGCAACCAGAGCTTATCATATAAATAATAATAGTTTTATCTAATTTTATATTGCTTGCAGTTGCTGTAGTATCATTTAGTCAGTATTCAGTTGTTCAGGGTACCAGGAAATTTGTCAGTTTTGAACTTCCTGCCTATATAGCTTAAGATAACACCAGTGATGTTCTACAGATGCAGTTTATTTAGAGAAAGATAATGATATTTTGAACAAAACAGCAAAAGGGTTTGAATCGTACTGATACCAAAACAGTTCTTTTGAAGTATTGCATGTTTAACATGATCTTAAACAAACAGAAATATTACTGAGTTAGTGGCCCAGTATCTTTGCTAAGGAACGTATAACTGAATTCAGAACTGTGCTGAAGATTTATATATAAAAATTTTGTGGGGAAAAAATCTTGAATTCCTGAGGGTTGTTACACAGTAAAGAGTGCTCATCTCGGTGCTCTTTGGAGTTGGTGATGAGGTGTTTCTTCCTCATTTGTGTATAGCTCGGGTTGAGCTTCCACCGTTTCTCAGCGCTCCACGTGCGCTTGCCTTGCCAAACCAAACCCAGCCGGCGCAGCCTGCGAGGCTCTTGGTGCTGTGGGGTCTTTCAGTATAAACTCGGCTTCTGGTGGCAGCATCCCCTGCTGTCCTGGCTCAGCAGTGCCTCTGCGTGTGACCTGGGCCGCAGTAGGGTTGTGGCACAGTCTGTGTAGACTGCAGGCTAGGAGCTGGGTCCCTGTTACTGGATATTTTTGTGAACCTGGCCATTTTGTACAGCATTTTCACATTTTTCT